GAGGCTCCTGCGAGTGCTGCAGTAGTGGGAGTGATGAGATGGCACCCCTTCCCCTCTTCTCTCAATGTTCCCCCCTTCACTTCTTCCCTCTGAAGCAGATGCTTTTCTCTTTTCAGTGCGATGTATTTTCTTTCATTGTGTGCCTGTATCCAGCCAGCACAGGCACTCAGTTTCCAGGGAAGTTAGACAGATGGAAATTATTGAGTAAAATGGCCAGACCTGGTTCATTCTAATCCTCACATTCTTTTTTGTTGCAACATGAGTACTTTGTAAGAAAAGGAGACATGGTTTCTGTTTTTGTTGTATATGTTTTTTTTAATAGGGAAATTCAACACATATTCATTATGGTAACTAAATTATCTGGTCGAATTTCTACATATTTTTGATCAAATTTCTACTATTTTATTTTTATTGTTGATTTCCTGTTATTGCTTCATTTGTTTATGTTTTGCTCAATTGATAAAGTTTTAAAATAATCCTTCACCATCAAATTATACAGCTTTTGCACAGTAATGGAAATGATTAGGAATGTGAAGAGAGAACCTACAGAATGGGAAACATTTTTGATAACTACTCTTCTGACAGAGGATTAACGTCTATAATATATAAAGTAACTCAAAGAGCTTTACAGCAAAAAATCAAATAACTAAAAATGGGCAAATGAATTAAACAGATACTTCTCAAGAGAAATAGTGATGGCCAACTATATATGAAAAAAATGTTCAACATCATTAGCAATTAAGGAAATGAAAATCAAAACTACACTTGAGATTTCATGTCATACCTGTCAGAATGGCAGTCATCAAGAATACAAATAATAATAAATGCTGGAGAGAATGTGGAGGAAAAAGGAATACTTTTATGCTGTTGGTGGAATTGTAAATTACAGCCACTATGGAAATCAGTATGAGGTTCCTCCAAAGGCTAGGTATAGAACTGCCATATGACCCAGCTATACTACTCCTCAATATTTATCCTGAGTAATTAAACTTATCATACTATAGTGGTACATGCATATTCATGTTTAAATAGCATAATTCACAATAGCCAAACTGTGGAACCAACTCAGGTGTCCAGTGGTTGAATGAATAAAGAAAATGTGATATATACACACAATGGAAGCAAAATAAGTCAAACTGAGAAGGTTAAGGGTTGAATAATAGCTTTTTTTTGATATTGAAGATTGAACTCAGAGGCACTCAACCACTGAGCCACATCCCCATCCCTATTTTGTATTTTATTTAGAGACAGGGTCTCACTGAGTTGCCTAGGCATCTTGCCATTGCTGAGGCTGGCTTTGAACTCATGGTCCTCCTGCCTCATCCTCCCCAGCCATTGGGATTATAGGCATGTGCCACTGTGCCCAACAATAATAGCTGTTTGATACTATCTTACAGAGTGAAGCTTTTAGTGTGATTTCATGTTTTTGCTTCTCTAAGCTAATCCCTAATTTTTATTTTTTTCAAGTAGTTTTACTAGAAGGGAAACAGATGGTAATCTTTGCATGTCTGAAAATGTCTTTTATTTTCACATAAGAGTCATCTATTGGTCAGATAGAGGAATTTGATTTGATATACAGTCCATTTTCTCAGATCTTTGTACAAATTCAGCATCCCTAATCTAATATTTCAAAATCTGAAATGTATTTAGTGCTGACATAATGTAACAAGTGGAAAATTCCATGCTGAAATTTTGTTTCATGTTAATTTAAAAATATTGTATAAAAGTATTTTCAGGATATGTTGTAAGGTATATGTGAAACATAAATAAATTGCATGTTTAGATTTGGGTCCTATCCCCAAGATATTTTATATGTATATGTAAATATTCCAGAATCCAAAATTCTTATTTATTATTATTTTTTCAGTACTGAGGATTGAACCTGGGGGCAATTTACCACTGAACTATATCCCCAGCTTTTTTATTTTTTGAGACAGGGTCTCACTAAATTGTTAAGACTGGCCTAGAACCTGAGATCTGCCTTCCTCAGCCTTCCCAGTAGCTAGGATTACATGCCTGTGCCACCATGTCCAGCTCCAAAACACTTCTGATCCCTTTTATTTTGGATAAGGGATACTCAACTTGCAATAGCTGTTGCAGATTTGGGAATGCTGTCTACTTCTCTCTTATTTGTTACAGGCTCCTGTTTGGAAGCTTATATGATTTTTCTCTTTAGCCATGGAATTCAGAAATTTCATCTGAATATGCCTAGGATATGTTTTTTTTTTTTGTTTGTTTGTTGTTTTGTTTTTGATTAGTCTTTTTAAAAAGATTTTCTTTTGCCATGCTGGGGATTGAATCCAGGGCTTTACATGTGCTAAGCACATTCTTTGCTACTGAGCTACACTTCCAGCCCCCTTGTTGTAAATTTTATTTTTTGTGCTGTAGGTTGAGCCCAGGGGGTCCTTTACTACTGAGCTATATTCCCAGCCATTTTTATTTATTATTTTGAGACAGGGTCTTAGTAATTTGCTGAGGCTACCTTCAAACTTGCAACCCTCCTGCCTCAGCCCCCTAAGTAACTTTGATTACAGGCATGCACTACCACACTTGGAAGCTTTTTTTAAAGTATTTTTTAGTTGTTGATATACCTTTATTATTTATTTATTTATATGTGGTGCTGAGAATCAAATCCAGTGCCTCACAAATGCTAGGCAAGTGCTTTGCCACTGAGCCACAACCTCAGCCTCAGGATGCTTTTTAATCTTGATCCTCCATGTGCCTTTTCAATCTGGATCCTCAAGCCTGTTTTTGATTTAAGGAACTTTCATATATTATTTAAGAAAGCTATTGTGTCTCCTTTTGTACCTTTTTCTCTTCCATCTTCTTTTTTTTTTCATTATAATTTCCATTTCTTTTGGATTTTTTTGTTTAAAGTAAGCTCTCTCGTTTAGTCCTCTAGCTTAATATTTTTTCTCCCACATTTCTTATTGGTGTGTTATAGTTAAATATACTGATGGTATTTGTTGTTACATATTTGTGCATGCACACAATATACAATATAACTACATAATTTGGCCAATATCACCCCCAGCACTTCTCCCTTCCTCCCCATTCCCCACCCCTTGGACCCTTTCCTCTATTGATCTCCCTTTGATTTTCATGTGATCCACCCACATCTTTTCCTTTTCCTTTCTAGCTTCCACATATGAGAGAAAATATGACCCTTAATTTTATGAGTTTGATGTATTTCACCTAACATAATGATCTCTAGTTCCATCTATTTTCCTGCAGATGTAATGATTTCATTTTTCTTTATGGCTGAATAAAATCCCATTGTGTATATATACCATGTTTTCTTTATCTGTTCATCCATTGATGGAAACCTAGGTTGGTTCCATAGTTTGGCTATTGTGAGTTGTGCTGCTGTAATCATGGGTATGCTTGTATCACTATAGTATGATGAATTTAATTCTTCAGGATAAATACTGAGGAGTGGTATAGATGGGTGGTTCTATGCCTAGCCTTTGGAGGAACCTCATACTGATTTCCATAGTGGTTATAATAATTTATAATCCCACTAACAGTATAAAAGTGTTCCTTTTTCTCCACATCCTTTCCAGCATTTATCATTATTTGTATTCTTGATGACTGCCATTCTGACAGGTATGACATAAAATCTCAGTGTGGTTTTTTAAAAATAACTGTATTTATTTATTTATTTATTTATTTATGTGGTACAGAGGATCGAACTCAGTGCCTTACACATGCTAGACAAATGCCCTACCATTGAGCCACAACTTCAGCTTCTCAGTTTTGATTTTCATTTCCCTAATTGCTAATGATTTTGAATGTTTTTTCATATATTTATTGGCCATCTCTATTTCTTCTTTTGAGAAGTCTGTTTAATTCATTTGCCCATTTATTAATTGGGTTATTTGATTTTTTTGTTGTAAAGTTTTTGTGTTCTTTATATATTATAGATATTAATTGTCTGTCAGAAGAGTAATTCTAGGTTAATATTAATTTGATGGTTATTGATGTCCATTCTGTTTTCTACTACATCTATTACATTTCTATTCAATATCAACTTTTGGGAATCCTTTTTTCCCCCAAGACTTAGTCCTACACATTCAAGAAACTTCTCTAGTAACAAGTTCTCCAGTAACTATAGAAATGATCCCTTAAGTTTTAGGAATCTTTCTCACACAGTTCCTTTGAAGTATCTTCTTGAACTTCCTTACAGATTTGCAGTAATATTTAAGTTCTGTTTCCTGTATTAACTCTGCTTCAGTGTGAACCACTCCATATGATAGTGGAGCCTGTTTTTTTTGTGTGTGGTAATCTCGAACCGCTCATACATTTGTATATATCTTGACCTTCCAGAACCTCCTCCCTCTCTAGGAATTCCTTTGACCCCCTTGAAAGTGGTGAGAATTAAGGGAAACCATTTTTCCCCAGGAGGCCAGCTGTGAAGGGGATGACAGATGGGACTTCTCTTTGAAGTTGGGGAAAGGCCTCTTAAGTTCCTAAGGCATGGTTTGAAAAGTGGTAGCTCTCTCTTTCTTGGATCCAAGGGAGGCAGCAGTTTAGTGAGTGGGTCAAGTCTCTTAGAGGCGATGGCTAGAGCAGAGCCAGCAGGAAGGGATAGTTCTCTCACATGCTGAGGGCATTTTTGCAGGATTAGCCTGCTGGGCATCCTCAGATCACCTTACCTTGCTTCTTGCTCCCTGATCTCACCCTGACTCTGAAATTATTGAGGTGCCCCAAACAAGGAGATTGGCACTGGAGGCTTGTAGTCACAAGCACACATTTAGGTAACTACAGAATTCTTTGAAAATTTGTTTTGAGTTTACATTGAAATAACTCTCAAAACATTATATCCTATATTTCTTTGATACTGTTGTTACTATCTGCGTCTCTGTCTTATGCTGAATCTAGATAGACACAGTGTATGAGGGTTTTTAGGTTTCAGGGTGGCCTGACCTTGATTAAGGTGTGACCAAATTTGGATAGATGTATGATGATTCCTTCCTTTTTTCTTTTTTCCTTTTTTGCAGAAAATAAAAAGCCAAGTAAAGGTTCCAAAGGCTGTAAGAAGGTAAGTTGGATCCACAATCATATGGGGTGGCTCACACTTAAGGTATGCCCATTATTGGAGATCAGGTCAGTAGATATTGGCTGACTCTGGACAGAGCACCACATTGGAATTAGTAGACCTGGCTTTTGGTGGCTGCAGCAGAGATTCAGCAGCATATATTAAGTTCCCACTATAAGCCATACATTGCTTTTTATGCTTGATTTACGTTGGTCGGGATTATTGTCATTCCCATTTTTTAAAATATATTTTTAGTTGTAGATAGGCAGAATACCTTTATTTTATTTATTTATTATTGTGTGGTGCTGAGGGTCTCACCCAGTGCCTCACATGTACTAGGCAAATGCTCTACCACTGAGCTACAACTCAAGCCCTTTTCTTTCTTTTTTTAAAATATTTTTTTAGTTATACATGGACACAATATCTTTATTTTGTTTATTTATTTTTATGTGGTGCTGAGGGTCTCACCCAGTGCCTCACATGTACTAGGCAAATGCTCTACCACTGAGCTACAACTCCATCTCACTCCCCATTTTTTAAAAGTGCTGAGGATTAAACTCAGGGCATCAGTTCATGCTGGGAAAGAGCTGTGTTGCTAAGCTATTATCCCCAGCCCTCACATCTGCTTTCTTTATTTATATTTTATGGTGTTGGGGATAGAACCCAGGACCTTGTGCCATGATAGGCAAGAGTTCTACCACTGAGCTATACTGCTACCCCAGTTCCATTTAAAAAAACTTTTAATGTATTTTTTGTGATACTGGGGATTGAAACCCAGGGACACTATATAACTGAGCCACATCCCAGCCCTTTCTTTTTTTAATATTTTTTAGTTGTAGGCAAACACAATATCTTTATTTTATTTTTATATGGTGCTGGGGATCAAACTCAGTGCCTCAAGCATGGTAGGCTAGTGCTCTACCTCTGAGCCACAACCCCAGCCCCCATCCCAGCTCTTTCTATTTTTTTTTGAGACAAGATCTTGCTAAATTGCTGAGGGTTTCTGTAAGTTGTTGGCCTCAAACTTGGTATCTTCTTGCTTTGGCTATCTGAGTAACTGGGATTACAGACATGAGCCACCATGCCTGACTGCAAACTTTAAACCACCCTCCAGAATCATATTTAGGGTGGCTTTAAACAGAATGCTGGGTGCTGCCCCAAAGCTTCTTATTTAGTAGGTCTGGCATGGCATTTAATAATTTGTATTTCTACCAAGTCCCCTGGTGCTTCTGTGGTTGGCCCAGGGACCACATTTTGGGAACTACTTGTCTAGAAACCTTTTCCCTTGGCCTTGGTAAACCTTTTAGGCTGCCCCTGCCTCCACCAGTTTCCTGGAGTTTTTAGTTAGTCCCTGCCTGGGTAAGTAAGGGAGGGTCTCTTCTCAGCCAAACAGGCAGTTCTCTAGGGATGAAGCCCTTTGGGCCTACTCCTTTCTTTCCCTCCAGAGCTACAGTCCTCTGAACAGGTTTAACCTCTGTGGGTGATTTCTTTGGGTTTATTTTCTGTTTGATTTTTTTTTTCTTCTTCTTATGTGGCGACCAGCCTATAAAGCAAAATGGAAAGAAAGCAACTTCCAAAGTGCCCTCCGCTCCCCAGTTTGTTCATTGCAATGATCATGCCAGCCGGGAGGCAGAATTAAAGAAGAAGAGGGTGAGCCCTTCTTTACCTTGGGGGAGGGGAGAGGGCCTGGTTTAAATGCTGGATCTGCAGAAGTATTGAGTGGAAGGGTAGAGGTGAGAGAAGTTAGGATTCTTGAGGCTGTTTGTGGATGGGGAAAGTGAGGGAGGGAGGTTACCTTGATATAGGATTTAGTTTTTCTGTTTGCTGACTTCCCCCTCATGTCCCCATCCATTACTCTCTGGCTTACATTCCCACTTCTCCATGGAAACCACCCCTGTTGGCTTCCCCAGTGCCAACCTTCATGCCATATTCATGGATAGCTTTTTTCTCTCATCTTAGTAGAATTCTCAGCATTTGAGACCATGCTTTCCTTGAAGCATTCCCGATTTTGACTTTGACATACCACTCGCCTGAATGTTTCCTTCCTCTTGACCAACCTTTTGCATTTCTCTCTTGCTGCTCTTCTTCCTGCTTTTTTGTTTGCTTGCTTGCTTGTGTGATTTTTGAGACTAGATGTCTATGTTGCCCAGAGTATCCTTGAAATCCTGGGCTGAAGGGATCTACCTCCTTTATCCTCCTGAATAGCTGGGAATACAGGCCAGCACCATGGCATCCAGCTTTTTCTTCCAACTTTTAAAATGAGGTTGTATCCCAGGACCTTGTCCTTTTTTCTTGTCTGGTCTTAAGTGATTCCTCTCTGCTTATAATGCAGTCTCTTAGCTTCACATACCCTCTTTTTCTTTCATTCATTCATTCATTCATTCATTCATTCATTCATTCATTCATTCATTTATTTATGATACTGGGGATTGAACCTAGGGGTATTCTATGCAATGAGCTACATCCTCAGCCCTTTTTATTTATTTTTAAAAGTATTTTTCTAGTTGTAAATGGGCATAATACCTTTATTTTATTTATTTTTATGTGGTGCTTGGGGATTGAGCCTAGTGTCTCACGCATGCTAGGCAGGCACTCTACCAATGAGCTACAATCCCAGCCTTAACCCTTTTTATTTTTGAGACAAGGTCTTTCTAAGTCACCTAGGCTGGGTTCAATACTTCTGATCCTCTTGTCAGCCTCATGAGTCTCTGGGATTACATGTGTGTGCCACTGTGTCCACTCTCTTTTTATTTTTCTCTACCACTATCTCCTTCCCTTCATTTCTCCAATTTCTTCCTCTCAAGTACTCTATTTCCTGCTGTTCTTCTGTCTGCCCTCACTCTGAATCCCAGTTTCTCTTACCTCTGCCATGTAGCCCTATTTACTCTGTCATCCATTTCTCTCTTAGTATTTAGATCTAGTCAGCTCTAATCCTAGCAATCTGTTCACTTGGTAGGTTGAGGAGATGAGGGAGAAGCAGCAGGCTGCCCGGGAGCAAGAGAGAGACAGACGCAGGACCATTGAGAGCTACTGTCAGGATGTCCTGAGACGCCAGGAGGAGTTTGAGCGCAAGGTAAGAGAGCAGCCTGTGCCCCTGGGTGGGATTAGTGTGGGTTTGCTGTCACACTGCAAAAGGGACAGGAAGGGTGTGAGGTTGTTGGAGGGGAAGAAAGGAATAAGTTCAGAGAGGAAAGATTAGGGACAGGGAGGGAGGGTAAAAGGGAGATAAGGGGCCATTTTGAACCTTATTTCTGACTAGGTATCTCTGGAGAGCATCTCTCTCCCAAACTTGTGCCCAAACTGGGAGTGGTGGTAGGGTTGGGGGCTTGGAAAGGTGTGATGAGTGGAGGGGGTACAAAAGAGGGAGTAAGAGTATAAGGGGGAGGGTTGAGAGAGAGAAGCATATGGGGGGATTTCGTTTTCCTTCTGGGCCTTCTCACTGCTTTTCTGGCATCTGTTCTTGATTCAAACACAGAATATGCAATTACCAACTCCATACTTTATTCCCTGATATATAGTGCAGATTTTGGCTTCCTAATTCTATATCTACCATAGATTGTTTTCCTCACATCCCTTCCTTACACTCCACTGTGCATGCTCAGGCATCTGACTGGTGCCCAAGTATATGCATACACATAGCTAAACACATGCACCATGTGGTTCTGTTCATTCTTTTTCTAGTTTTCAACTGTGTGGGTTGGTCAAAGTTACTTTTAGGTGGAGTGAGACTGACATGGCTTCCCTAGCCTTCTGTGGTTTCCAAAGTCCTTGAGCATGTACACTTCTGTACTCTTTGTCTTTTCCCCCTTCTCCTCCCTTCTTTCCCCAATCCATTCTCTTTATTTTCTCTTTTAGGAGGAGGTTTTGCAGGAATTAAATATGTTTCCTCAGCTGGATGATGAGGCTACAAGGAAGGCTTATTACAAGGAGTTCCGTAAGGTGCAGGGATCCATTTCTTAAGACCTTTTTGGGAGGGTCCCAATCCATTTTCATTTCTTTTCCATTTCTGATTTTTCCTTACTGAAATGGAGACCTTTATTTTCATGAGCCTACATGACTACTGCCCACTCTATTCCCTGCCTTAATCCCTCTGTCCTCTGCTGTACAGGTAGTACAATACTCTGATGTGATTCTGGAAGTCCTGGATGCCAGAGACCCATTGGGCTGTCGGTGTTTCCAAATGGAGGAGGCTGTTTTGCGGGCAGAGGGCAACAAGAAGCTGGTCCTGGTCTTGAACAAGATTGGTAGGTGTTTGGCTGGATTGAGTAAGGCAGGGAAGGGGTCAGCCTTCTTGAAAGACTAGCTCATACCAGATATAGATCGAGCAACACATTGGTACTCATAACTGTCATGCCAGGTAGAAATTCTTGTTCCAGTTTTCAAAGCCAGGAATATTGTCTGAAGGTACACAAATTCATACACACACAAATGAGTGTAATGCAAGGTGGACGTGAAGTCAACCTTTCAGGTCACCATTCTTGCCATTTTTGAGCCATTTTTATGACTTGACAGTCCTGGAGAGCTCTTCTCTTCCCCAAACTGGAACTCAAAGATTGGAGTAAAAGAGCATATGGACTGAGGAATCATTCAGGTTTTTGTCTCATCCTACCTGTGTTATTTTCTCTTGAGTTATTAGACAAGTCATGTCACTTCTGAGATCTCCTATTTCTCTGTTTATAAAATGGGTCATGAATGTCCCAACCTGACAGGTTTGTTTGAGGGTTAATGTTTGGTACATGGTCAGTACTTCACAAATGATAGTCTTTCTTGTGATAGTTGTTATTTTTCTTTTTACAGTACTGGAGTTTGAATCCAGGAGTACTCTACCACTGACTACATCCTTAATACTTCTAGAGAGAGAATTTTTGTGCTATGGGAACACTTTATTAATTTTTGTACCAGGCACTAAACTTATTTTTTAAGGGTACTCTACCACTGAGCTATATCTCCAACCCTTTGAGAGGGAAAGCAGTCTTTGGCAGGCCTCTGGCACCTTGGGCACCTTGACTTGGAAGGAGGCCATTTGGGACCAAACAACTAGTTTGCACATTTTTTCCCTGAGTGAACAGTTGCCTTCAGGGAGGGCCAACTGGTCCCGTAGACACACATGCTAGGCAAATATTCTTGTCTCCTTTGTAACTCCCATCTGGAGACTGGGCAGGGACTGACAGAGCCAGTGGAGAGACCTATTGGCAGGAGGTGGCCCTACCCTTTGGTGTTTATGGATATGTCTTTGGAGTGAGCCATGGAGGTGATGTTCTCCTTGCCAACCCCATCTGTTCCTATTTTCCCCAGATCTGGTTCCTAAGGAGATTGTGGAGAAGTGGTTGGATTACCTTCGTAATGAGCTGCCAACTGTGGCTTTTAAGGCCAGCACCCAACATCAGGTCAAAAACCTGGTAAGTCTGGTATCAGGGTATCTGTCCTTTTTCAGGGTAGCCTAGGACCAGGGTTAGAGAGTTATGATGTGGAATGGGTCCTTTATCCCTTTAGTAATTGAACTGTGCCTTCAATGTTGAGCCTTAATTAGGATCCCATTTTTGTGTTTATACATGTTGTGGAGTTTCATTGGTTATATATTCATATATGAATATAAGAAAGTTATATTTTACTGTTAATCATATCATTAATATAGAAATACATTTTTTTATTATGAAAAAATATTACAGAAACATTGGTTGCTTCTAGAGAGAGAATTTGGGTGCTAGGGGAACTTTTTTTTTTTTTTCCAGTTTTGCACCAGGCATTAAACTTAGTTTTTTAATACCTTTATTTTATTTATTTTTTTTATTTTTGTGTGGTGCTGAGGCTTAAACCCAGTACCCCACACATGCTAGGCAAATATTCTCCCACTGAGCCACAAACCCAGCCCAGGCATTAAACTTAGTATTTTTTGTAGTGCTGGGAATGGCACCCAGGGCCTTAAGAATGCTAGGCAAGCACTTTACTATTGAGCTACATCCCAGGCCCCTAGTTTACCATTTTTCATTGTTATAATCTGTACTTCCACAAATTCCCTTGTACATTCTCCTTGTATGGAGGCAAGTATTGGTGTGGGTTAGGTACTGAGAAATGGAGTCACTGGGTCATACATAGGCTTTGTGCATTTTGCATTTTTCACGACATAGATGGAATTGCTTTCATAATGGCTGTCACAGTTTATCCTCCCACCAGTGGGGTAGATGAATAGGACCCCCTGTATCTTTTTTAAATACTGAGTCTTGAACCCAAGATTGTTTCATCCCTAGTCTTCCTATTTTTTATTTTGAGACAGGGTCTTACTAAGTTGCTGAGGCTGACTTCAAACTTGCAATCCTCCTTAGCCTCCTGAGTCACTGGGATTATAGGCATGCACCACCACACCTGGCTCCCTGTCCCCTTGCCAATATTTAATAGTATTAATGTTTTTATTTTTTATTTATTTAAAAAATTTTTATAAATAGACACAGTACTTTTATTTTATTTGATTTTATTTTTATGTGGTGCCAGGGATTGAACCCAGTGCCTCATTCTTGCTAGGCGAGCGCTCTATCACTGAGCCACAACCCCGGCCCCATGTTTTTATTTTTCTATTGTAGGCATGCCTGTTTTTATTCCCAGGGACATGTGATTCTCAAGTCAACATTTCCCAAACAGAAATCCCTATATAAACAGGGTTAATCTATGTTGGATTTATTTAGATAACTTTGAACTTTTATGGCTTTGAGAAATATGTTGTCTCAATATAGTCTTTTGACCTTTTTTTTTTTTCACATGGGTTTGTGTGCTGTTAGTGATCAAACCCAGGGTCTTGTGCATGCTAGATAAGCAGTCTACTACTGAGCCCAATGTTGTGGCTGTTTTGAAGGCAAAGATGTTTTGAACAGTTGTATTCCAGCTGGGCATGGTGGTGCAAATTTGTAATCTCAGACAATCAGGAGACTGTGAAGATTGCAAGTTTGAGGCCAAGGCCAGCAATTTATTAAGTCTCTGTCTCAAAATTTTAAAAAACAAACAGGACTGAATGTGCTTCTCAGTGGTATAATGCCCCTGGGTTCAATCCCCAGTACCTCAAAAAACAAACAAATGAAAGAGGAAACCTGTTGTGTTACATTTGTATTCTACCTTAAGGATATGCCAGATAGGCTTTTTGAACCTATTTCTTATTGATGGATATTTAGTTTAATTCTAACTTTGTGGCACTAGAAACAATGTTGGGGTGAGTAAGGGATGAAGAAAAGGAGGAAAGGCATTCTGGGAAGAGGAGGTGGTATTAGGAATAAAGATGTGGAGGCTAGGATGGCCTTGTCTTATGTGAGGTGTCAAGGGAATGTAGTCTGTGGTTCAGTCACCTCCTCATCCCTGTAGAGGCAAGGAGGGCAGGCATTCCTGTTGTGCACATGAGGCCTAGAGAAGGGAAGCAGGCTTTGCTTGAAATAGGCCTATGAGAGGTAGAACTGGCACTCAAACGTGGCTTATCTAGAGCCAGGATGCCTCCCTGCCCCCTTCAATGGGAAGCAAGAAACATATGTGAAGTCAGAAGCAGAGACAAGAGAAATCTGGAGATGCAAAGACAGTGGAGGGGAGTGAGTGGTAAAGAGTAGGTGTTCAGTACCTGTCTGAGAAGCCCTCTGTTTTAGGCTGAGGAGTTTGATGATCACAGGGACTTCCTGAATGTTTCCCTCTAAGTTGAAAATCTGGACTCAGATTTCATCTGCTACCTGATGCCTCTTCTGTAACAGCCCTTATTTTCCAGAATCGGTGTAATGTGCCAGTGGATCAAGCCCCTGAATCGCTGCTAAAAAGCAAAGCTTGCTTTGGAGCTGAAAATCTCATGAGGGTTCTGGGAAACTATTGCCGCCTGGGTGAAGTACGCACCCACATCCGTGTGGGTGTTGTGGGTAAGGCATGGTGAACAGTCTTGGGGTCTAGGTTCCTTCTTTGAAGAGGGATTTCATTGGGGGAAAATATGCCTTTTGGGGGAAGAAGGGAGTGGTTCAGAAAGGGTTTTCTGAGCTGTAATTTGGATAGGTGGACATGGAAAAGCATGTTCATAGTCACCACAGTGATTGAATGTTAGAACCATGGACCACATACATAGTGCCAAGCTTGGAATTGTTATCATCTCATCTTGTCAGAGCTGTAGGAAGGAGGTGTTACTGTCTCTCTTTTACAGATGAGAACACTGAGACCCAGAAAAAGGAAAAAAAAAAAGACTTGTGGAGTTAGCCCAGTGCAAGACAAGGCAGGGCTGAGGTTTAAACCTGAGCTTTTATGGAACCCAGGGTACTGAGGGAAGGATCATGGGAAGGGACTAGGGAAATCATGAGAGACAAACGAAGACAGATCATCAGGCAGAGAAAGTAAAGCCAAGATAGAGAAATGGAGAGAGAGTTGGACAGTTGAGAATGTATAGATACATAGAATAGACAGAGGAAGATGCAGAAAAATAAAACAGGAAGGCCAGATGGCAGGGTTGGTAGAGAATGAAAAATTAGACAAATTTAAATTACAGAGGGATGCAGAGAGAGAGAGAGGGATATAATGACCAAAAAGAAATACCAAAAGGGACATTGAGTTAGATTTGTGTGTACAGAAACCTACAGAGGGAGGCATAGCAAGGATAAGGACACCCCATGTATATAGAGTGCAGACATCATACCCAAAGAAAGAACATTCAGGGATGAAGGCAGACTCAAAGATATATATATACACACACACACAAAGAAAAGTACACACACACACATACACACATCTACATGTGTGGGATCTTGTACACACCCAGCAGATGCACATCTGGAGACACAGAGGGGCCAATACATGCAGACCAAGCATTTTCCACATGTATTCACCCCAACTCTGTTCTCTTAAAGCAAATAGAGTCATAGGGTAACATTCATGTGCCTAGATACACTATAACCCTCTAACACAATGTAGAGTCATCAGGAGAGAGATACATGAACATATGAACGATGAGACAGATTGTATGTGTAGAGAGAGAAACACACACAAACACACATAGGCTTAGGGAGATAAAAAGAGTTACAATGAAACACATTCAGGAAGCAAATACATAGAGGAACTCATAGAGAGGAGGCTTCCATGTCTTCAGCCCCTTCTAATTTTGGACCATCCTCTGATTCTTACTCTGGGCATGGGAGTCTCTAATAGCCATCATTTACCTGATTCACCTTAGGTATGGTCAGAAGGAGGCTGACAGAAGTTAGCATAGAGGGAATTATAGAGAGGCTGAATTGGTGGGGTGTAGAGAATCAGAAAGAACTATGGCCAGAATGAGAAATAGATGCTTAGATACAAACATACACAGAAAAAGAAAAAGAGATGCTAGAGAAATACACTGGGAGATAGACAAAAAAAAAAAAAAAAAAAAAAAGCACAAAACAGTCATATTTTGGAATGAGAATCACTAAGAGAGGTGTATAGAAACCAAAGCACATATATGAGAGAGTAGTCTACATATGTAAATTCATGCACATGCAGAGAGAATGGTGAGAATGAGAGACCCAAGGAGGAAGAAACAAGCTATTCACAGGCTGAGAGCAGTTCACAGGTGCCACAAGAAAAGACAGCTGCACAAAGAGACTGGTATCTGGAGAGAACCCCCTTATCCCCCAGGGCAATTACACAGCAGAACAGATGGCCCTGTGTTTTACAGACGTTTCTTGATGTCCACCTTCTGTTGCATTGGGCCTATGAGGCCTTGAATTGAGCTCCTCTCCAGGCTGGTTGTGGGTAGGAGGTGGATGTCACATCTAGAGAGAAGAACACATTTACCGAGCATGTCCACAAAAGGAAGAGAGGCAGAAAGGCCCTGTAAGGGTCTTGATCAGAGCCTAGAGTGGGAAGGCAGGAGGTCAGGCTCTGTTTTTGGCTTCTCCATGGCCTGACCACTGCTCCTGCCAGGCTTCCCTCACAGAGTCTGACTTGATGTTCCTGAGGGTCATTTCTACCCTGAGTCATCTGCTGCTACTTTCTAGGCCTTCCCAATGTTGGGAAGAGCAGCCTGATCAATAGCCTGAAGCGCAGCCGTGCATGCAGTGTGGGAGCCGTTCCTGGGGTTACCAAGTAAGCACCTGCTCCTCTACTTCACAACTTCTTAACACTAAAGTTCCCTCAGACTCCTATTCCTTCAGCCCTCATCCCTTTCCTAATTTTGTACAATCCTCTGATTCTTTTCCTGGGCGTGGGAGTCCCTCATTTTCCTAGTACCCCCAGGTGTGGGACAGGCACCCTGCTGGGTCCTTATCATTAGTTCCTCCTAAGAACAGTGCAAGATTGGGCTACTCATGAGTTGCTCAGGTGCATAGGTGGAGCAACTGAAACCCAGAGAGTCAGAAGCATACTTATGGTTCTGCAGCCTGGTCCCCAGTGGCAGACACTGAATTTTAGAATCAGCCCAAGGTCTACAGGGCCCCAGACCCCACCAGCTCTACATTTTTCAGCTTCTGAAAGACACCTTCTCCTTGCTCCTTTATCCCCTCCCCCACCTCTCTAGGCTCAACCTTTATTACTAAATGTCAAGCACATGCAGTTTTTTCTTCTCTCCCACCCCAGATTCATGCAGGAGGTCTACCTAGACAAGTTCATCAGGCTGCTGGATGCTCCAGGCATTGTCCCAGGACCCAACTCCGAGGTGGGCACTATTTTGCGTAACTGCATCCATGTGCAGAAGCTGGCAGATCCTGTGACCCCAGTGGAGACTATTTTACAGCGCTGCAACCTGGAAGAGGTACACAGCAGGTCCCTTGGTGGATGCCCTACCCTACCCACTCCAAGAACTATTTTTTCTTCCTAATGACTTCTTTTCTTCCTTCCTAAACTAGATTTCCAACTACTATGGAGTTTCTGGGTTCCAGACCACTGAGCACTTTCTGACTGCAGTGGCCCACCGCTTGGGAAAGAAGAAGAAGGGAGGCTTATACAGTCAGGAGCAGGCTGCTAAAGCTGTCCTAGCTGACTGGGTGAGGTGAGGAAGGGACTGAGCATGAGGCCTGCTGGGAATCTGGCTCTACAATAGCTCATCTGTGTTTATCACAGCTGGTGTGGCTACCTGTCCTCTATCCCAAGGCAGGGGAAAATCAAGGCACGAGGGCATGTTGTGCTTGGGACTTTGTGCCAGTGATTATCCAGCAACTCATCCTATTGTTCAGAAGCCACTCTGGGTTTTCTTGTCCTTACTGTTTCTGGCTTTTGAACTTGTCCTCTTTTTGATTGATCATTATTTCTCTCAATGACCATCATCAATTTCCTTCCACCTCTCAATGCAGTGGAAAGATCAGTTTCTATACACCACCACCACCCACCCACACTCTACCAGCTCACCTGAGTGCTGAGATTGTTAAGGAAATGACTGAGGTCTTTGACATTGAAGATACTGAGCAGGCCAATGAAGACACCATGGAATGTAAGTATGGATAACTGGTTGTACTTGGTCTTCTCCTGATGGTGCCACACAGACCTGATGGCAGATCCCATTTACAATCTCCTCTTCCCTGGTTCTACTACTTGTGTTTTGTACAAGTTTAACAAGCTCAGCCTAATTTCTTTTCCTGCAAGGTAGAGAATTGTAATCTGGGCCAGGGGTTGGTTGTGATGGTGATGGTTATGAGCTTTTGTTAGGTGCAGATTCTTATCTCTTGGGACCTGGCCTGGAGTGGGTTTAGATGTTCCTTTCAAAAGCCCTTTGTCTAGTGTTGCTATAGGCTTTTCCACCACCATGGCAAATGTATTCCTAGGCTTTCCTTCTTAATGCCCATTGGCTGGTGAGGTGTCTAATTCACAAAATGGTAATGTTTGCCAAAAGGCACATAGACAGTGGCATGCAAAGGTAGCCTTGGAACCAGCTCTACTGCCCTGTTATCTAAGACACCCAGCTCTGAGTAGCTAGGTGGCTGAAAGGTTGAACTGCCTGCATTCAGTCCAAGCTTTGTTTCTTATTAGCTATATGAGGCTGAACAGTTATTTCACTTCTCCCTGTATCAATGATGTCATCTGTAAAATGGTGACAACAGCACCCATGGTAAGTGATGGTAAGGATTTATTTACTGTGTAAAAGATAGCTAGGGAGTGTAGCTCAGTGGCTTAGTGTGCTCACAGCCCTGGGTTCAATGCTTAGCACACGAGAAAGGAAAAGACATGTAGAACAGTAATTTGCATATAGTAAATAAATGCTTAGTAAATTTTAGCTATTATTAAGGTGATTATTATACAGAGGTGTGACTTTCAGAAACATTTTAGAAAGTTTCTTTTCACAAGACACTACCCTCTGAAGCCCTGGCTTTGTGGTTCTAGCCTCTTTCTGTATCCAGTCCCAAGACTCCCTGGACCCATGTGTAGACACTGTGAGGTAGTTGAGAATGTCTTGGTAACCTAGCTTCTGGTATCTGTTTCTCTTGGAGAGTCAGATATTTTCTTCTCTGGGTTTTCTAATTTCCTTTTATTACAAATGAGGACAAGAGAACTTGTTTACTTCCTTAATTATTCTCCCTGTGGCTTTAGGCAGGTCATCCTCCACCTTTCTGAACTTTAGTTTTCACTTCTCTCCGGGGGAACTTGAGAGGGATGGGAGGTCATGTTTTCAGGATAATATTGACTCTTGATGGGTGTGAGGACAAGTGGGGCTTCATCACTGAGAGTACATTTAGGCAAAAGATTGAGGTCTGGGACATAGAGAAGAGGGTGGGGGAGAGCTTAGTAGTGAAGCATTTTTGGATGAGTTGGTCCTAGTACTGGATCTTAAAGGGTGAGTAGGGACTAGGAAGAAGGGAATGGGGGCAGAACTATAGGAAGTATGAGGATAGTGTGGCACAAGGCAGTTGGCACATCTGAGATTACAGTGGAGACCAACTCCAGACAATGGGCCAGAAGAAACAGAGAGTCCTGGTCCTAGGGAGGTAATCCTGGTAGTTTCCAGTTATAGAGCAACATCATGGTTGGGTTAAACAATAATAGGGCTCCTCTGCCATGTCTCACAGCAGCCCTCTGTATATAGGGCTTGTGAAATTTCTATTTTTCAGATTAGCAAGCCAAGACTCTGAGGCCAGTCCCCAGTAGGCGAGTGTCGTATTATAAAACTCATGCTTTTAATCATTCTTCATGTAGCCTTTTAGTAGGACTGAGAAGCTTCTCCCCCACTTGACTCCCCTGAGCAGCATCCACATGTCCTTTCTGCTGACACCTGACCAAGGGGCTGACAGCAGAGAGGAGCAAGGATCCTGATGATGGTTTTGGTTCTGTTAAAGGCTTGGCCACCGGAGAATCAGATGAGCTGTTGGGCGACACAGACCCGCTCGAAATGGAGATTAAGTGGCTTCATTCTCCGATGGTGAAAATAGCAGATGCCATTGAAAATAAAACCACCGTATATAAGGTACCTCTCCTCTTTCTTCATGGCAACCCTTTCCTCTACCCACATTCTAGAAAGGGGTTAGTCTGTCTTGCCTAGCTCCTACAAGGTGGGTGTGAGTGGTTCAAATACTCCCTGTGGGTTCCTGGATGCCTGACCTGGTATGTCTTTTGCCAAATGATAATAGGTCTAAGGAGAAGAGAGATAATCTTCCAAGCTTTTTTCCCAGACCTGGCTGTAGTCCATAGAACAGGTATCACTATTTAGTCACTCAATTGTTTTAAGTTGCAAATGACTTTTCTTTCTCCCACTTAGTACCCAAGATGCTATAACTGTCAGCCAGCAAGTCCTATGGTTTTTCCCTTCAAAATCTCTTGAGAATCTGTCAATTTCCTGGTGTTTCTACCATTTACATAATCCTAGAGTCAACTCACCTAGACATATGCCCCAGGTCTGTTTTTTATGGCCTAGTCCGACCATATTAACCTCCTCTGATTAAATGCCGTTCGTGGCTCCCTAGCACCTATAGAATTAGGTTCTTGTTTCTGAGTTCTGTTATTCAAGACTTGCATGGATGACTCTAGGTGGTTTTTTCCAGCCTCTTTTTCTTCCAGTTCCCCCATCTCTGCATTTCAGAAAGATATCTTCACTCTGATGAGAGGCGCATGGAGTGTTGGCAGGGATGGGAATGGGGGTGGGGTGAAGGTTGAAGACAGCATGACTCTAAGAGCCCTCATCTATACTGTTTGTGGGTTAGAGAAGAAGGATACAGCTCATTTATAAAGTACCCCAGGGTTTAATCCCAAGTACCACCACTTAAAAAGTTGCTTAAGTCTTTGCTAAATTGCTGAGGCTGGATTTGAACTTGCTATCCTCCTGCCTTAGCCTCTCAAGGTGCTGGCGTTGCTGGGATTACAGGGATGTGCCATTGTTGTGCACAACTTTTTTTTTTTTTTAAATTTTGAGACAGGGTCTTCCCAAGTTGTTGAGGTTGACCTTGAATTTACTATATTCTTGCCTCAACCTCCCGGGTCACTGGGATTAGTGGTGTGCACCACTGCACCTGCCTTCAAAGGGATTTTCACCTCTGTTGTGCTTATTAATTTTTTTCTTTTAAAAAATTTTTAAAATAGGTAATGCAAATCATATTTTAAAATTTAAAAGGTACTAAAAGCTATACAGCAAGAAGTAAATCTTTCTCTTGTTTCTGTGTCTCATCACCCTGTCCCTTTCTTGGAGCCAGTCACTATTAGACTTTTGGATGTCTTTTCAGAGCTATTCCATATTTATATGTGCACATATACCCACACAAGCAGTTACAGATAACTATTTTAATGCTGTTCATATAGTTCTGCATTTTACTTGATTAATGTACAAATTCATCTTGGAGATTGTTCCACATGCTTAATTTCAGGAGCTGTCCTTTATTTTTATGGTTATATATCTGGAAGGGTCTCTTAGGCAGGGAAATGACATAGGCAGGTTTGTATATTAGAACATTAATAATAAAGAAAGGGGCCACCATAGGGCATGTAGTCAGTCCAAGGAGGAAACCATAATCTCTAGTTAGTCTGGAAGAGAATTTGTGGTCTGCAGCCGTGAAGGAATCACACTATTCTTGTTTTCACATAGTTTTAGAGGTTTCCCATTGCTTAAAGGGAAAATCTGTGTAAAGTTGTAATATTTTTCACTGAGTCCCTAAGCTCCAGAACACACCCTTTTTTTTTTCCTCAGAAACCTGCAAGGAGTTCCCTGGTATACTGCATCGTGAATAGTGCTTCTGCCCTCAACCCAAGTGGTGCAGTGTGATAGCTTTACTCAGTCCCATCTCTTGCCTTTTCCTTGCTACAGGGAAGTGGGTGGTCCTATGCATGGGCTCTGGAGCTAGTCTGCTTAGGTTCTAATTTACTCCACTGCATGTTAGATGTGTGACCTCATGTGCTTTGTTTGTCATAGCATTGTTAGAAGGATTAAGTTAATTAACACATATATACAAAGGGGTAAATATAGTCACATATGATGCCTCTCAATGGGGAGATGTTCCGAGAGATGCATTGTTAGGTGATTTTTGTGGTTGTACAAATATCCAAGAATGTACTTAAACCAAGACACATACACACTCACACACTCACATGTATATTCATATATGAACTTAGAATGGTACTGGGCATATAATAAACTTTCTGTTAATACTGACTTGTAGTACTCACATACATCTTTCACTCCTGCCACTCCCATTCCCTTTTTGGTGCCCCCCAAGTATGCTCTGTGCTTTTCCAGTGTTTAGTTAGCAATGACCCTAACTGCTGGGCATGGTTGTGTATGCCTGTAATACTAGTGACTCTGGATGATGAGACAGGAGGACAGCTTTGGTACATGGCGAGAACCTGTCTCAAAAAGGTCAGGGATACAGCTCATTTATAAAGTACCCCAGGGTTTAATCCCCAGAACCACCACCAAAAAAAAGAAAGAGGGAAAGAAGGGACCCTCCCCATCAGTAGTATGTTGCCAGTTATCATCTGTCACTCATCCTTGAATCCCTCATGGGCAGACACCATGCTTATGAGATAGATTGTTATATGCTCTTTAGCTTGGTTGCTCCCTGAAGGTAGAAATGAGTTTGACTCTTTTTCTTTGTTCCCACACAGAGCTGGGAACATAATAGGTTCCAAGAATATTTGTTAAATTTAATTAGACCTTAGAAAACTTAAGCAAAGTATCATTATAATACAATTGTCATTGATAAGTAACCTTACATTTTCATTTTATTCTTTTTGGTGGGATGATGAACCCAGGGGCACTTAACCACTGAGCCACATCCCCAACCCTTTTTTTAAAATTTTGAGACAGGGTCTTGTTAAGTTGTTCTGAGATTCACTAAGTTGATGAGGCTGGCTTTGAACTTGCAATCCTCTTGCCTTAGCCTCCTGAGCCGCTGGGATTATGGGCATGCACCACCACACCCAGCTCATTTTATTCTTGTAAAAGTCATATAGGCTACCTGTTATTCACTCCCATGTGACAAAGGAGAAAGCTAATGTTGTGAGGCTGACTAAGCACCTGCTAGTATATGGTGAAGCCAGAATTGGAGCCTGGTTTGCATGACTCTAGGCTCCATTTTTTCCCTTTATTGGGGATTGAATCCAGGGGCACTCAATCACTGAACTACATACCCAGCTCCTTTTTATTTATTTATTTATTTTTGAGCCGGGGTCTGAGTTTCCCAGGCTGTCCTTGAATTTAAGATTCTTCTGCTTCATATTCCAAGTAGTTTGAATTACAGATGTGTGTCATCATACCCAGATATAGGCTTCCTATTCTTTACCAAGCCTGTTCCTGCCTCCTTTGTAGAAGTCTCTGGAGGTCAGGACCTTACCATTATCCTCTTTCTCTCTCCAGATTGGAGACCTCACTGGGTATTGCACCAATCCAAACCGCCATCAGATGGGGTGGGCTAAACGCAATGTGGACTACCCCCGTCCCAAGAACAACAGTGTGGTGGATGTCAGCCCAGTGGACCGCCGTCCGATGCTGCAGAGGATCATGGAGACAGATCCTTTGCAACAGGGTCAGGCTTTGGCATCTGCCTTGAAAAATAAGAAGAAGATGCAGAAGCGTACAGGTGGGGATACTTGGCTGACTCTTTGCTCTGAAAAGGTTCAGTCTGGGGCCTGGAATAGAGGCTCCTGAATGAGCATATCCATGTGTCTAGCTCCAGGCTAGGGTTAGGGGCTCAACTACTAGAATAGTGGTTCTCAAACTTTAGCTTGTACCAGAATCATCTGGAGGGTTTGTTAAGGCAGATATATAGAGCCCTTCCTTAGAGTTTCTAATTGAATAAATCAACTGATACTGGTCCTCTGGGGACTACACTTGGAAAACCAGTGGCCTAGTCTTTGTATAAACATGGCCACATTTATCAGGTACTTTCTATGTGTTAGGTAGTTAACAGGCTATATAATTTATACTTTATCATTTGGCATTGCACTCAAAATCCTAAAGGATATACAGTAAAACATCTTTCCTATCTGCTAGTCATCTAGGTCTCTCATAGGCAACCAGTTAGTTTCTTGTGTCTCTTTCCTGATACACAAGAAAATACCTATATATTCTCTGTTGTTTTTTCTACTCAAATGCTAGTCTACTGAACCCATGGTTTTGCCCCATCACTTTTCTGTTCAATAGTCTTAGGGATATTTCCATATCAATACATGAAAGACCTTACCTTCATTTTAATGATGGTCCATTGTGTAGCTGGCCCATTAGGTTTTCATGCTTTATTGTTGCTCCTCCATATCTGTGGCTTCTGTATTTGCAGATTCAACCAACTACAAATCAGAAATATTTGAAAAAAAATTGCACTTGTATTGAATGTACAAATACTATATTTTTGTCATTATTTCCTTAACAACATGATATGACAACTACTTACATAGTATCTATCCTATATTAAGTATTATCTAAAAATGACTTAAAGCATTCAGGAGGATGTGTGTAGTTTATATACAGATACTACACCATTTTAATATAAGGGCCTTCAGAATACCAAATCTGGATTTGGTGTCTTCCAAATCTTTCTCTATGGATACTGAAGGATGGTTGCACTTACCCTCACTAACTCATTCTAAAAGATTTATATCACATGTAGTAAGTGAGGTAACTGAGGCCCAGAGATATTCAGTGACACTTTCAAGGTGAGACAGCTAGTAATAAGTGGAGGCAAAATGTAAACTAGGTAGGGTTGATTGGCCCTGTCAGCCCTATTCTTTGAACTAGGCCATATTTTATAACCAAACATTCATTCTTGGCCTGGCTCTACACTGAATCCTAGGACTCCAGAAATAAACTGCCCTTGAACTTCTGGTTTTATTAGAGAGTGTGGAGGAGACAAAACAGACATTTGACAGTACAGAGTGATCACTCTGAAGAGACAACAAGTACTGTGAGGAGATCTAACCCATCCTCAGGGAATCCTCAAGAATCATGGGACAAATGAGAGATGTGAGCTGTGAGCATTCAGGCCCAAAGCTATTACTGCTGTGCTGCTCTTTTGCTGTGGGAGCTTTGTTTTTTTTTTTGTTGTTGTTGTTTTGTTTTATTTTTGTGGTACTGGGGATTGAACCTAGCGGCACTGAGCTACATCCTCAGCCTTTTAATATTTTATTTTGAGACAGGGTCTTGACAAGTTGCCCAGGCTGGCCTCCCACTTGTGATCCACCTGCTTCAGCCTCCCTAGTCATTAGGGTCACAGGTGTGCATGACCATGCCTGGTGAGAGCTTTGTTTTGAGGGTAAGGATGGAGTGCTAAGTTCAACACAGTATAAAAAAATTACTATTTTGGTTCTTGGAAGACACAAAAATATTTGGATCCCTGAGAGTTGAAACTCTGAGATAGAAGTTATATTATGGTGTTCACAGGTTGATAAATGGTTCTACTTGTGAGGTTTAATAGTGGCTTCCAACAGCCCATCAGTTGTTTTCTTTAATGTTTGGGGATTACGTGAGCCATTTGGGGAGCTTGGTGCAGACCAAGCTTCATTTAGGCCAGCTCGGGTAGGCCTTCTTTTGGCAAGCCAGTCACCAAAAGATTGCATCTATTTCTTCATTTGCAGATAAAATCGCCAGCAAGCTGTCTGATTCCATGATGTCTGTTCTCGACCTCTCCGGCAATGGTGATGACAGTGCTGGTGACTGATCAGCTGATCCCACTCCCCTCCCCCTCCAAGCACTGGTTCCTATAGGATGGGGGAGTACAAATGGAGTTTGGTTCTCTCGGAAGTACCTATATATATATCTATATATTAAAAAAAAAAAAAAAAAAAAAAACTTCCCATGCTGTGTGTCCCCTCCCAATACTGTTCCCTCCATTCTCTCTAGAGAGGTTGCAGTTGCCAAATCCAGTGAACTTTACTTAATCCCTGCTGTGTTTTATAAGAGAAAATATCAGCAGAGCCCAGGTGCTAACAATTTATCCCTCACTCTTAATCCCAGGATCCCACCCCGTAGGTTGAGCTGATATTAAGGATGACCTCCCACAAGCCCTCTTAGACCGCTGAATGTACAAATAAAGGCTAGACTGTTAGTAGACCTAGAGCCCCTGCAGGGAAGATGATTTCTTTACCATTCAATGAGAGGTATCACCACCAAGGTATCCCTATAATGGGCTTCTGGCCATGCATCTTTCTTCCAAGTTCATAGGTCCTCACTTGGGTGGCAGTGGGGACATGGGAATAGTGATGAGCCTTTTTATATCTGTGCAAGGGTCTGGAGATAGGATAAAGGGAAGAAGAAAACAAATAAGCCTGGCTGGTATTAAAGTGTGTTAGAGACTATATTGTAGGAGGAGAAAACAAGGTACCTGTTGGTAGGGCAGCTGGGTGCTTTAGGGACAAATCCCATCTTGGCATATGTGAGAATTTGGAGAAATTCCGTTAACTGAAGTGCTCTGGCTGATCCTTGCCCTTGTATGACCTTATCCAGCATCAGCATTTGAATTCCACAATTCTGGAGAGTTCTGATACCAGTTATTTAGAGTGTGTCCTTGAGAGAGTTGCTGTATTTGGGACTGCACCAGCTATCTCCTTTCCCAGTGGCTGGAAGCTACCCATTAAAATATAATTAACTATCACCTCTTGGAGGGCCTACCCTATCAGACAAGGGCATCAGGCCCAAGCACTACTAGGGGCCTAGCTTAGTCAGCTTGCTGTCACTATTGTAAAATACTTGAGATATCAGTTTATAATGAGAAAATGCTTATTTTGACTTAAAGTTTTAAAAGTTCCAGTCCATGATTGATTGGCTCTGTTGCTTTGGCTTTCTGGTGAGATAGCATAGATAAGCTGGTACATGTGGTGACCAAAACCTTTCATCTTATGGCCAGGAAGCAAAAAAAAGGAAAAAAAGTGGGAGTGCCTGAAGTCCCACAATCCCTTTCAATATCCCAATGATTTAAGGATCTCCCACCAGGCCCCACCTCCTAGAAGTTTTACTTTACCCTGAGATCAAGTCTTTTAACATATGGGCCTTTGGGATACATTTAGGATCCAAGTTATAACAGACTCTTGTAAAGGGTCTAGGATAGAAGATTACAACTGAAACGATCTCATTTTACTAGGAATTTTTGTTTCTTGTACAGAATTTCAGTTCCTAGCCATTTATCCAGAGTTGATATATTTGTAAGGAGTGGGCATTACATTACTTCAGTCTTTGCTACCTACACTAAACTTCCATACCATTCTTTGACCATGAATATATACCCTTTAGTCTTGCTCTTGCCTCTGCCTCTCAGGCTGGCACCCAAAGTTTACCTAACCAGATCCTGAATCAGGTGACACAGGAGAAAGCTACTGACTATAGGCTCTTCTGTCTGGAAAGTGCGGACTTCTACTGTATTCAGGCACAGCCAAAGGAAGGAGGTAGTTACTAATTGTGCACAAACTGCAACAAGCTCTGGAAATCTGTTAAACCTCCTTAATTCTCAGTATGGCTATACTGGTATGGGATTAATATCATAAGAAAAATAAATAGGCTCAGAAAGTTGACAGGTTATGCCCAAGACAACATTAACTGGTGGTGCCAAGTGTGATTAAAACCCTATGCAGGCCCTTTCCTCTGCATTATACTGCCTTCTTAACAAAAGTACATTAATTAAGCACCTACTGTGTGCCAGTCTCTGTTATCAAGTCCTTAAAATGCATTTTCTTATTTTTTTTGCTTTAAAAATCCTGGTATTATCTTGCTAAAATTTTGTTCTCGTAGTCTCCTTGAATGAGGTCCAGTTTAATTCACATCACATTATAAGGCTCTCCTGGTAGGTAATTCTGTTAAAATAAAAAATTGTGTACTGAGACTGCCAAAGCCATTTTACAATCATATAGAATTTTATTTATACACACACACACACACACACACACACACATACAAATGCATATACATGCACCCTTTTTTGCAGTGCTGGGGATTTAACCCAGGACCTCAGGCATACTAGGCAAGCACTGAACTACATCCTCATCCCTTTTTATTTTTTATTTGAGACAGAGTTTTGAAAGTTGCCCAGGCTGGCCTCAAGCTTGCAATACCCCCCCTCAGCATCCCGAGTAGTTGTGATTACAGGCATGTGCCACCATATCCAGTTGGAATTTCATAATTTAATATTTAAAATAGTTTTTTTTTTTTTAATTCCTGAATGGTTCTGGTAAACAAGGATGAGAAATATAAATATCTGGGTGATTGAGAAACATGGGAACATAATTTGGCCAAAATCAAATGGAAGAATTAAAATAGTCATGTTGGGATAAGAATTTTAGATTCTAGATATTCCCCCTGTAGCATATCTTGTTTTTTTAAAAACTCCTGAGTACCTGGGATTACAGATGTGCACCACTGTTTCTGACTTAAAGCTAGTTATTGAATCTTTTTCCTCTTCTTTTTTAAAAAATTAAGATAATTTGTATAAAGTTTACCCTTTCTAGTTTAAGTTCTGTGGACTTGGACACATTAATATGTGAGTGAACCACCACCACAGTCCAGATACAGAATATTTGTTATCACCCCAAAACTCCGCAGGCCTTGTTGTTGTCAACTCTTATCCCTTATCTTCAGTTCCTGGCAACCACTGATCTGTTTTCTGTCCCTGTATTTTTGCTTTAGCATGAATGCCATATAAATAGAATCATACAGTATATAGGCTTATTTTACACCATCAAGTTTTAAACCTGTATTCTTAGAATTTACATTAGAACCAGGCATATCGACATTCACCTATAATCCCAATTACTCTGGAGGTAGAGGCAGGATAATTATAAATTTGAGGCCAGCCTGGGTAATTTAGCAAGACTGTCTTAAAATAAAAAAAAATAAAAAGTTCTGGGGTTGTATCTCATTGATAGAGTGCCCTGAATTTAGTCCCTATTACTGCAAAAAAAAAAAAAAAAGTAAAATTTACTCTGGATTATAGTTATATAAGCTTTGATAAATTATGCATTGAGGTATGTAATAACCATTACAATCAAGGTATGGAACGGTCCTATTAGCCTACCCCCACCAAATTCACTCCTGCTACTTTATAGTTAAAACCAGTCCCCTATAACTAACCTCTAGTAATCATTGATTTGTCTTTGTCCTTATGGTTTATGTTTTGAAGAATGTTATATAAGTGGAATTATACAGATATAACTTTTTGAGACTCAATTTACTAATAATAAATTTGAGATTTACCAATGTCATTGGTTGTTAACATTAGTTCTTGTTCCTGAGTCATACGCCATTGTGTGGATGTACTACCATTTGTTTTATCTATTTCCCATTTGTAGGACATTTTAGATTCTTTGCAGTTTTGGGCAATTATGAATAAAGCTGCTATGTAAACATTTGTATGCGACTTTTTGTGTTTTCATTTCTTTAGAGCAATTTCCCAGAGTTGGATTGCTGGGATATATGGTAAGTTTATGTTTAACATTCTTAGAAACTGCTGAACTGTTTTTTGAAGTGGCTCTACCATTTTGACATTCTCATGAAAGGTTTAGTCCCACATTTTCTCTAGCACTTGGTTTTGCCAGTTTTTTTTTTTTTTTCACCCGACATTAGCTATTCTCATAGGTATGTAGTGGTATCTCTTTGTGGTTTCAATCTGTATTTCCCTAATGACTAATGATTTGAACATTTTCATGTTGCCATCCGAATATCCTCTTTGGCAAAATATTCATCTCTTGCATGTTTTGTAATGGTTTTATTATTTGTTGAATTTAAAAGATTCTGTTCTGGGTTCATGTTCTTTATTGGATATATGCTTTCCGACAATTTTTTCCCAATTATGGGAAAGCTTTGTTGACAAATTTTATTTAAAAATTGTAGTAAATGATACATAATAAAAGTTACTGTCAACCATTTTTTAAAAATATTTATTTTTTAGTCTTAGATGGACACAATATCTTTATTTTATTTTTATGTGATACTGAGGCTCGAACCCAGTGCCCCATGCATGCTAGGTGGGCACTCTACCACTGAACCACAACCCCAGGCAACTGTCATTCCTTTTTAAGTATACAATTCATGCCATTAAGTACGTTCACATTATTTTGCAATCATCACCACAGTCCTTCTTCAAAACTCTTCTTATCTTGTGTAACCAAAGCTCTGTACCCACTAATGATATTGTTCTGCCATTCCTCCACAATTATTTTTTTTCATTTTTCATTTTTATTTTCCTTTTTATTGGTGCATTGTAAATATGTATTAACATTGTTATATATTTGTACATGCACACAATATATAATTCTGCTTTCCATGAATATTCTTAAGAACATCATATAAATAGAATAATACAATATTTGTCCTTATGTGACTGGCATATTTGTCATAATTTCATTTTTAAGAGTTAATTTATTACATGTATCTACCTTTTTCAGCTTTTGGGGTTTAATTGACAAAAATTGTATATATTACAACATGATGATTTTTGTTTTTTGTTTTTGTGGTGCTGGGGATGGACCCAGGGCCTTGTGCATGCCAGGCACTCTACCACTGAGCTATACCCCTGGCCCTAATGTGATGCTTTGTTATTATGTGTACATTGTGAAATGATTGCCACAGTCAAGTTAATTAACATATTTATCACTTCACAGAGTTATCTGTTTTTGAGTAGTGAAAACTCTTGATCTACTCTCTTAGCCAATTTCAAGTATGTAGCATTTTATTATTAACTAAAGTCAACATTAGGTCTCCAAAAATCGTACAGTGCCAGCGCGTGCACACGTGCACACACACAGAAATACATATGTACACTGGGAATTGAGATTTTGAGCTTAACCACTGAGCCATATCCCTAACATGTTTTATATTTTATTTAGGGACAGGGTCTTGCTAAATTGCTTAGTGCCTTGCTAAATTGCTGAGGCTGGCTTTGAACTGGCCATCCTCCTGCCTCAGCCACTTGATCCTCTGGGATTACAGGTATAAGCCACCATGCCCAGCTAGTTATTCATATTTTAATTGCAAGTTTGTACATTTTGGCTAACATCTCCCAGTTTCCCTTAGTTCTTACTCATAGCCCCTAATTTTTACCCTACTACTTTCTAAGAGTTTATATTTTGGGGGGGGGTAGGGTACCAGGTATTGAACTCAGGGGCACTTGACCATTGAGCCACATCCCCAGCCCTATTTTGTATTTAAATAAAATAAGATAAAATAAGAGACAGAGTCACGCTAAGTTGCTTAGTGCCTTGCTTTTGCAGAGGCTGGCTTTGAACTAGCAATCCTCCTGCCTCAGCCTCCCTAACCTCTGGGATGATGGGTGTGGACCACTGTGCCCAGCTTGAGTTTACCTTTCTTAGAGATTCTACATGTAAGTGAGATCCTGTAATATTTGTCTTTCTGTTAATGGCCCATTTCACTTAGCACAGAATCCTATGTTGCCACAAATGGCGGAATTTCTTTGTTTAAGGCTGAATAAGTTTATATATATATATATGCCCATATATTTATTTACATAACCCACTATATTTTCTTCATCCATTCATCCATCCATCTTTCCATCTACAAACACTTAGATTATTTCAATATATACCCTATCGTGAATGTTGTAATGAACACAGAAGTGCAGCTCTATCTTAGAGGTAGAGATAAATCTTTCCTTTGGATACATCCCTAGATTTGGTATTGCTGAATCCTATTTTTTTTTTTTAAAGAGAGAGTGAGAGAGAGAGGGGGACAGAGAGAGAGAGAGAATTTTAACATTTATTTTTTCTTAGTTCTCGGCGGACACAACATCTTTGTTGGTATGTGGTGCTGAGGATCGAACCCGGGCCGCACGCATGCC